TATATATATATCGTCACAAACAGAACTGCCCGGTAAACCGTAGGCAGGGAGAGAGAAGAGGACAACAAACGAGGGGCTGTGACAAACTGTTTCGTCGGAGTTTCACCGACTCATCAGGAGGCTGTATATATATATATATATCGTCACAAACAGAACTGCCCGGTAAACCGTAGGCAGAGAGAGAGAAGAGGACGACAAACGAGGGGCTGTGACAAACTGTTTCGTCGGAGTTTCACCGACTATATATATATATATATATATATATATTTACCGGGCAGTTCTATTTGACGATATATATATATATATATATATATATATATATATATATATCGACACAAACAGAACTGCCCGGTAAACCGTAGGCAGAGAGAGAGAGAAGAGGTATATGAGGGCATTTGGGTTAAGAGAACCTCTTATATATGAACCCACACCTCCTTAAACCCTACTTGTGCATTGTACAAACTGGGCTTAGGTCGTCAACTCAAAGGTAGGTTCTGCTGTGTCAGGGGAAGAGAAACTTAGAGAAAAGGGCCTGCAAGAAAATAAATAATGAGGAAATAGGCCCCAAACAGAATGCACAGGCTTGCCCCTCCTTGCTGTGAAAAGGTATGCCAGGAGGTGGTGGGTTGGGACTTCAAACTCGATTGGGTTCGAAGACTACCATCTTCCCCCGAACATAACGCACCCTGAAAATGAACGTATACAAGGTATGTTTCCGGCCCAATACAGACAAAATGGGGGTGTGTTGTGTTCGGGGGAAGACGGTAAGCATCCTGTTTGACAAAAAGTAAGGACAAGACTGTGCATTCTGTTTGACCATTAAAGGCTGGAAAAGCCAGGGTTGGTATGAACTCAGGTTTGACCACTAAAGCCTGGCAAAGCCAGTGTCACCGTGAATTCAGGTGTTAAGAGTCCGTTTGACCATAAAAGGGTGGAAAAGCCAGGGTTGGCGTAAATTAAGGTTTGATCATTGAAGGCTTCATCATCATCCCAAAACATCTCAATTGACCGCTACCTGCACTCGCTTCGCTGCTTTTCTCTTCTTCGACTTCTGTCTCCTCTTCGCTTTCTTCCCCTGCTGGCCATGGGCTGGCCGTTGGGCAGCAGCGTTGCCCGCAGCATCAACCTCGTCCCCGCCGCTTCCATTCCTTCCACCACTAACCACCGCGTTTTCTCCGTCAAGAGCGAAGCGCACTTTCTTCTTCACTTTCTGTCCCGTCTTCAATGCGCTTTTTGTGTCTGCTTGCTCCACCCCTCGATTGTTCAGTGGCTGCCAGACCATTGCGCCTCCGGCAATGTCTGCGCTATCGTCGCTCGTCCCTTCATCATCCGAAGAGTTGAGCATGGCGCGAACCAAGTGTGCTAGCTTCTTGCCTTGTTGCCCCTGCAACCTGCGTTTCCGCTTCGTCTCTTTTCCATCACTACCGACGTCGCCATCAGACTCCTCATCAGTTCCACGCATTTTGTCCTCACCGGACGGGTCCAGCTCATCCAGAGCGAAGCGCACCTTCTTACCTTTTCCTTCTTTCAGTTTCCGCTTTTTTATTCCTTTCTTCGTCGTGACACCATGAAGACCACCGGACGGGTCTTCATGACCACCAGCAGAAGCAGCAGCAGCAGATGAACAAGTATGGTCGTTTCCGTTAGACTCATGGTCACGAGAAGTGTCGTCGCTGTGTTTTTCGAGAGGTTGCTGCGCAGCGGCAGCCGCAGGGGCTCCGTCGTCGCTTTCCCTCAATTTGTCCTCGGACACGAGAGTTTTCTCTGGATTAAGGCCCGCGACATCCTCCTCCATATCACTCCCTGTCGCATCGTAACCATTGCGATGCTTCTTGGCCTTCTTCCTCAACTTCGACTTCACGCGGCTGTTGTGCTTTCCCTCCTCCGCTTCCCTACTGTCCATCTTCAAGTCGGATGACTCGACACCTAGCAAGAGGTCGCAACACAGAGAATGCACATATTGAGCAAATTAAAAAAAAAAAAAAAAAAGGGAAAGAAAGGAAGGGAACGGACACGTTACTTCCATACCCCGCCCGCCTGCCCGGTAGTCGATACGACTGCTGACAACTACCAATCTGCTGCTGCTGAGTAAAAAGGGGCTTCAACTCATTTTGTAGCCATCAAACTTGATGGAACAACCATCAGGCATCAGACCAATCAATAGCGCTATAGCTAAGTAAAAAGGGGCTTCAACCAATCAAGAGCTAATTATATTATTAAAATGCAGACTGCAACCAATAAATAGCAAATTAAAAAAAAGAAGAGACTTCAACGAATCAACAGTACACAATATGCCCCTTAGCTGGCCTCATGGCATGAAAGTACGTTTAGCAATTTGGCCAAGAAAAAAAATATTGGAAAAGTCTTTATCAAGTTTATCTGCAGCAAACATATCCGTCAGCACACAGCAAAGGATTGAAAAATACTAAAATACTAAAAAGAGTACACGACTCTATACCT